TTTTGCCACTGGAATTGATTGCTCAGATCTCTTATAGTGCTTTACTGTTACATTTTTGACCTTTCACCTTGATGACATTTCTTGCACACACCTGAAACCACCTGTCTAGCTATGACCTTGTTATGAACAGTATTTGTACTCACTGTGCAAATGTACGTGTTTTGCCTATTTAAGAAACATTATAGTGCCATTACTCAAGGAAGTTGAATGAGGTGAACGTAGACATAGCTTTTCCCCCTTTCCCCCCTTTTTTAAATGTAACAAATAACTTTTTATGTTCCCCTTCCCCCTTCCCCTCCCCCCTTCCCCCTTTGGAAACAGGAAAGGAACTAGGTAGTTCAGGATGAGTTATTGAGAGGGTTAAGAGAGTGAGCCACACAGAGCTGGGCTTCTTTGTGCTTCATCACAAGGCGTGCTGCTGGCCAGACTGCTTAAGCACCCTTTTTACAAGAAAACCTCGTGGAAGATACAGCTGGCGACTTTGGAAACAGGACCACAGAGGTGACACTCTGAGGGTAAATATCATCCATGTGTCTTTAGGAGAAAGCATACACAAGTATATGCCATGGAAAAAATGTGTTATGCTGTGAAGTATTTAATTTAGGAAAATATCAGTGATTTGGGTACATCAGTGAATCCCTGAAAAAAACTGATACAAGTTGGTGTGTGAGGAAATGTTTGTAAGGTAAATGGAAAAGCTCATGAGGTTCTATAGCAGTGATTTTCAACATCCTTAATGCTGTGACCCTTCAAGTTACTCACGTTGTGGTGCCCCCAAACATGACTTGTTTTCTTTTTGGCTTCATAACTAATTTTGCTATTGTTAAGAATCACAATGTAAATCAATATCTGGTATGCAGGGCATATCAGACATAGACAACCCCGTGAATGGTCCTCCCCTACAGGAGCTGCAGACCACAGATTGAGAACAAATGTTACATGGGTATATCATGGTTGGAGGTTTTCTGTGGTTTTTTAGGGGGGACGAGGATTGGTTCTTTTCAGGGCCGTGTTTCTCTGTGTAGTACTCCTGGCTGTCCTACAACTTGCTTTGTAGACCAGGTTGGCCTTGAACTCACAAAGATCCACCTGCCTCTGACTTTTGAATGCTGGGATTAAAGGTGGGAATCACCAGGCCCAGCCTCTACTGTAATTCTTTAAAATATGTGTATTTGATAGAATTCTTGAGATTTGGAATCTTGGAAGTAATCTGTAGACAAATTCAGGGGTTAGGCCTTTTTGTAAAGTAGGATTGTATATTAATTACAGACTTCTTTTATGTCATACTGTTAGAACCATGAGTGATTTCTGTTGTCTCTTGTAGATCCTGGCCATGAGGTTGGATGCCTCATCTTGCTGAAAAGACACTGGACCTAAATGGCGCAGCATGACTTTGTTCCTGCTTGGCTAAATTTCTCAACGCCACAGTCAGCTAAGGTACACCTTTTCATTCCTACTATTCAAACATACCAGTCCTTCTCTCTTTTTCTTTTTTTTTGGGGGGGTGGGTTGGGGGTTGAGGCAGTGTTTCTCTGTGTAGCTTTGGCTATCCTGGAACTAGCTCTGTCCACTAGATCCACCTGCCTCTGCCTCCTGAGCATATTCTTAATTTTTCTTTTTTTTAAATTTTTTTAGATTTATTTTACTTGAGTCAGTATCGAGCACAAATATATGTATCTGTGTGTACCACATGTATGCCAGGTGCCCAAAGAGATCGGAAAAGGGAATCAGATCCCCTATGGATGGTTTGAGTCACCCTATGGGTTCTGGGTGTGGAGTCTGGGTCCCTTCAAAATAACCAAATCAAAAGCCTGGCAGTGTAGGCGCAAGCCTTTAATCCCGGCGCACAGGATGCAGAGGCAAGTGGATCTCTGTAAGTTCAATACCAGCCCGGTCTACAAATCTACACAGAGAAACCCTGTCTTGAAACATCCTAAATAAATAAATAAATAAATCAGCCAAAACAAGAGCAGCAGTACTGCCTAAAATCTGAAACAGAAGCCACAAACCAGTCAGCCTGAAAAAAACTGGGATGCTGTGCGGTGGTAGCACTCAGGAGACAGAGGCAGGCAGATCTCTGAATTCCAGGCCAGGGAGGGAGAAAGGAAGGAGAGTGTGAGTAATTACACAATTCACATCAATGTCTATCTTAAAGCCAGTACCTCTCAATCTGTCTTTTAATGTGAATGTAAACATATGTGCAAGTACCCTTAAAGGTCTTTGAAAAATGGCTTGCACAAGTCCGTATTTCACGGCTAAAAAACAATCTCCCCTACTAGTAAGGACAAAAAACCAAAAAGGTCCCTGTTCAAATAAGGTCAAATGCTGGAAAGTAAGTGCTTTGCTTTTCTGCCTTTTCCTCACATTTATGTAGACAGTGCCAGCAAAACTCTGGATCTTTCCAGCTCAGTTTCACTACCCTTTTCTGGAAACCACTCATAATCACATTCAAGATAGTGAAGCTGACAACATATATCAACCATCAGTATCACTTATAGGTAAAGGATATATAAAAAGCTGGGGAGAAGGCTGGATTTATAACGTGTTTGATGTACAAGCATGGGAATCAAAGTTTGGATTTTCAGTACTCAACTTATAAAATCTGGGTAGGTACAGGGACCCACCAGTCATTTTAATGTTAAACCCAATGCTAGGAAAATGGAGACAGGATCCCTCAGGTAAGCTTGACTAGCTGAATAAGTGAACTCCAGGTTCAGTGAGTGTCTCTGCCTTGGGAAATAGAGAGCAAGCAAAGAAGACAAAGTATGTCAATTTTAGGCTTTTATATACCTACATGTGTCCAGACACCCACTTAAACACACACCCAAAAAAGAAACTTAGAATAAAAATCTATGGAATAGGAGTGATATTTCAAAAGCTTCTTTCTTTTATTTATGTAAATTCAAAGACTTGTAATCCCCCTGATTTTTTTTCCTCTTGTATAAACATGTAAAGTGAAGCTGATACTAAAATTATAGTATTGCCACAGATATGAAGTAATGTTTAGAAAGAAGTATTTTAAGACCACGGTAATGCAGGAGTGGTGGATCATGGCTGTAATCCCAGTAGTATGGAAGCTAAGGTAGGAGGATTGCCATAAGTCTGATGCAAACCTTGGCTACATAGTATATTCTAGGCCATTTGTGTTAGAGAATGAGACTTGAATCAAAAAACAGAAATTGTAGCTGGGCATTGGTGGCGCACGCCTTTAATACCAGCAATCAGGAGGCAGAGGCAGGCGGATCTCTGTGAGTTCGAGGCCAGCCTGGTCTCCAGAGAGAGTGCCAGGATAGGCTCCAAAGCTACACAGAGAAACCCGGTCTCAAAAAAAAAAAACAAAAAAAAAACCCAGAAATTGTATAAACTGGATATGATGGTTCATATATGTAATATAGCTTTTGTTTATTTGTTTAGTGTTGAGGGAAGGTCTCCCTGTGTAACTGACCTTGAACTCAATGGCAGTCATGTCTCAGCCTTAGTGCTAATATTGGACTACTACAACAGGCTGTTGTTTTTAATACCTGATTTAGAACCTCAAAGATACTGAAAGAAACTAAGTCTTTGCCTCTCTGCATTTTATAATATTAGTCATCTACAGCCACCTTTGACAAACACGGAGAGCACCTATCCCGTGGAGAAGGTAGATTTGGAGTAAGCCGTCGTCGACATAATTCCTCTGATGGCTTTTTTAACAATGGACCCCTAAGGACTACCGGAGGTGAGTCATTTCCAGATGTTGTGACCATATATTTAAACTACTATTTAGAGCCAGGCATGGTGGTGCACACTGTTAATCCCAGCACTCAAGAGACAGGCAGGTGGATGTCTTGTGAGTTCCACGCCAGCTTGTCTGACTAGTTCCAAGATAGACAAAGTTAAATAGTGAGGTACTGTCTCAAAGACCAGAAGAGCAGTGCTAGTTCATGCCTTTAATCCCAACACTTGGGAGACAGAAGCAGACGAATCTCTTGAGTTTGAAGCCAGCCTGGTCTACAGAGCTAGTTCCAGGACAGCCAAGGCTATACAAATTTAGTAGGGCTAGTGATTTGCTCAGTGGTATGTGCATGTTAACACAGCAGGGCTCTTAGTTGGATCTCTGACCTTGAGGCTGGGAGAATTGCCTCACAAAGAAAAGGTGCATTTAATGGTTTCTTTGTGTGGACTTCTTTTCTTTGTTTGATTTTTCAAGACAGCGTTTCTCCTTGTAGCCTTGGAATTCACTCTGTAGACCAGGCTAGCCTTGAACTCACAGAGATCTGCCTCTTGAGTGCTGGGATAAAGGCATGTGCCACCACTGCCCTGTTTGTGTGGACTTACGGTTTTCTGAAGGCCTTTTTTTTTTTTTTTTTTTTTTTTTTTTTTTTTTTTTTTTTTTTTTTTTTGGTTTTTCGAGACAGGGTTTCTCTGTGGCTTTGGGGGCTGCCCTGGAACTGGCTCTTGTAGACCATGCTGGTCTCGAACTCACAGAAATCTGCCTGCCTCTGCCTCCCGAGTGCTGGGATTAAAGGCGTGCTCCACCACCACCCGGCTCTGAAGGCCTTTTGAAAGTAACTTTGACCAAAGCAGAAAGCATTTGGCCAAGTTATTTCTGGATTTATAAGAAACAGACAAATACTACCATACTTTTCCTTGCTATTTTAGATTCTTGGCACCAACCCTCTTTATTCCGCCATGATTCTGTGGACTCTGGTGTCTCTAAGGGAGCATATGCTGGAACCACAGGAAATCTATCTGGTTGGCATGGCTCTTCCCGAGGTCATGATGGCATGAACCAACGAAGTGGAGGTAACACAGGAAACCATCGACACTGGAATGGCAGCTTCCACTCTCGGAAAGGCTGTACCTTTCAAGAAAAACCACCAACAGAGATTAGGGAAGAAAAAAAAGAGGATAAAGTAGAAAAGTTGCAGTTCGAAGAGGAAGACTTTGTAAGTATGAAGCTTTTAAATGCATAGTTAAAAGCAAACAGAACCTAGCCTGGTGGTGGTGGTAGTGGCACATGCCTTTAGTCCCGGCACTCCAGAGGCAGAGGCAGGCAGATCTCTGTGAGTTCGAGATCAGCCTGGTCTATAAGAGCTAGTGCCAGGACAGCCTCCAAAGCCACAGAGAAACCCTGTCTCACCCACACACACACAAAAAAAAAAGTTTGTTTTTCTGCTCTTTATATTATAAAATAACTATGTTTAGGCTGTTAACTATAGTCAATGAAATTTGATGCTTAGATGATAGTTTTATTTTTATTATGTGTGTATGAATGCACATATGCCATGCATATATATGTTTTTGTTAGAGGACAACTTTCAAGAGTTGGTTCTTTTCACTGTATGGAACCTTGGGATCGAACTAAGTCACTAGGCTTGATGACAGGCACCCTTAGCTCCTGAGCCACTGGCTAGTCATAAGAACATCCTTAGAAGGATATATTGTCACGTGAGCCTGTGAATGCACACATGTTGTATGTGTGTGGGCCTGCATGCAATAGCACACATGGTCTGTGGAAAGCATATTACATGGCTCTGTAGTTAAGCATACTAATACCCGCATAAATTAAAATAACTTTAAAATCTGTTTGTTTGAGATAGATTTCATTGCGTAGCTCTGGCTGACCTGGAACTCACTCACGGGAAGCCTGCCTGTGCTGGAATTAAAACACCACCATGCCCTATATTAAATCTTTGGTTTTTGTTTCTTGGTTTTTGTTTCTTTTTTAAAACAACTTTAAACCAAGAACATACTTCTTGCCCAGGCGTTGGTGGCGCCTTTAATTCCAGCACTCGGGAGGCAGGGGCAGGCAGATCTCTGTGAGTTCGAGACCAGCCTGGTCTACAAGAGCTAGTTCCAGGACAGCCTCCAAAGCCACAGAGAAACCTTGTCTCAAAAAAAAAAAATCTTAAAAAGAATGCTATGTACGTAGCTCAGGGGTAAGGGTATTTGTCTAGCATGTGTAGGGCCTTGAGTTCAGTTCCCTGCACTGTTGGGGAAGGAGAGAGAATAGTTTCTTCTGGACACCATTGTGTTTGATCCCTTCTATCCTCTATACAGTTAGTTAAGTCTATGATAAACTTGGTTTGATGTGTTTATTGAGCTTTCAGTTCTTGGAATCATACCATCATCACCTGTAATTGAACTTCTCATTTCTCTGCCAAGGACTTATCCATCCCTCTGTCGTCCTTCCCCATTGTGAATTTTTATCATAGCTGAACTTTTATAATAGAAGTTACTTACTTTGTTATTAGTTTTATCTTTGTAATGATGAATAATCTTCTTTTTGGTTTTGGTTTTTCGAGACACAGTTTGTCTGTGTAGCTTTGGAGCCTATCCTGGCACTCGCTCTGGAGACCAGGCTGGCCTCCAACTCACAGAGATCTGCCTGCCTCTGCTGCCCGAGTGCTGGGATTAAAGGTGTGCGCCACCAACTCCCGGGTAATGATGAATAATCTTGTGGTGACAAGAACTATTTTAATTGCCTTTGTTTTCCTTTTACAGCTCTGAAATATGGCTTTCTTCTAATGCAGTCTTACAAGTTCAGTGAATAGTATGCATTTCACAGACTATATTACTCTCTTTGAATCTGATTCTTGTTCTATGGCTTTCTATGCCTCCTCTTCCATATCTATACTATAGAAAGATAGAAACTGCATATTTATATTTTATATATATCTATATATGCATAAGAAATTCTGTGACAAAGAAGATAAAACTCAAGCTACAATAAAATATCTCTTGATTTCAGATATCAGTGTAATTTTCATTTTAATATACTATTATTTGGAGCTGATAATGTATAATTTTTTGGTAGCTTCTTTGGTGATGGCTACTTTGTGATGAGCTTTCTGTGTCTACCAACCATTCATACCCCCCTTTTTCCTCCTAGCCTTCTTTGAATCCAGAAGCTGGCAAACAGAATCAGCCATGCAGACCTATTGGGACCCCTTCAGGAGTGTGGGGTAGGTAGATTTTGCTATCTTAAAACATAGCTTGAAATACAATATTTATTTATTTATCATATACAGCATTATGTCTACATGTATGCATGTACACCAGAAGAGGGCACCAGATCTTATTATAGAATGTTGTGAGCAGCCACCATGTAGTTGCTAGGAATTGAACTCAGGACCTCTGGAAGAACAGCCATTGCTCTTAACCTCTGAGCCATCTCTCCAGTCCTGAAATTCTTATTATTGAATAGAGAAATAAAATTCTTCCTCCTTTTTTGTTTTGTTCTTAATTTAGTTCTTGTTTCTCATCTTTTTGCCGAGGGTAACTAACATGTTAGCTCTTCAGTAAGCATCCATAAAGATAGGAGAATACTCTATCCCCATAAAACCATCCAAGCATAATGATTTGGGTGGAGACAGAATACAGACCATTGAAAGAAAGCTTGTTGAATCCTAATTGAGACTTGAGTTTTTGTTTTCTGGTAGTTTTAGTGGTTTTAGCTTGAATTGTTTGGGAGTTTAAAGATTTCTGTTTTTAAGAGAGAGGCGTGTGTCTGTATATGTATTAATGTGGCCTTGGAAGTCCAGATGAGGATGATAGACTCTCCTAGAACTAGAGTTATAGGTGATATGGGCTCTGGAACTGAACTCAAATCTTCTGCTAGAACAGTGTACACTGAGCCATCTCACTGGGCCTCATAATGTTTCTTAGTGGTGGTTTTTTTGAGACAGCGTCTCGCTTTGTTGTCCAAAGAGATCCACCTGCCTCTCCCTTCCTGACTAGCATACATTCTTCCTTGGTTGTCCCTGAGTAATCACGTTATCTATCTTATAAGCTATGCCCCTCTAAGGACTGCAAATTTTCGTGTTTCAAGACTGGTTTATAAACTTAGTGATTCATATGCTGCCTTTTTTTTTTCTGTACAGTTACCAAATGGTATTATTTAAAAAAAATTTTTTTTTTAAGTAATGGCTAGGCCTTTAATCCCAGCACATGGGAAGCAGGGATAGATGGATCTCTTGAGTTCAAAGACAGTCTGGGCCCCATAGAGAATTTCCAGGCTAGCCAAAGCTACATAGTAAGTGAGACCTTTTCTCCAAAAACAAATTGCGGGAATGGAGAGATGGGTCAGTGTTTGAGTATTGCCTGCTCTTCTAGAGGACCAGGATTTGATTCCCAGCACCCACATGGCATCTCACAACCATCTGTAACTTCATAGTATCTGATATCCTCCTCTGACCTGCACAGGTATTAGGCACACATGCATTATGCATACAAGACAGTAATGCACGTTAGTTTGAAAATAAAATGGATTTTGAAAAATGTTTGTTTTTTCCTGAGTGACATGCATGCACGTGCATGCACATACAAAGGCAAGACTTGGTCAGCCTTTCTTCAGGAGCTATCCACCTTGTTTTGAACTGGTCTCATTGATCTAGTGTGATAGGTTGGCAGGCTAGAGAATCCCAGGGGTTCACCTATCTCTGTCCAATGCTGAGGTTACAAGCATGTGTACCTTGTTTCCTTTTGTTTTTTACTTTATTATGTATACAATGTTCTGTCTGCATGTATGCCTGCAGGAAGGAAGATGGCAAAAGTTCTCATTATAGATGGTTGTGAGCCTCCATGTTTTTGTTGGGAATTGAACTCAGGATCTCTGGAAGAGCAGTCAGTGCTCTTAACCTTTGAGCCATCTCTCCAGCCCCTTTTGTTTTTTAAATTTAGGTTTTGGAGATTAGCTCATATACTTAATGCTTGCATGGTAAACACTTCACCAACTGACCTACCTCCCACCCATAGTGTCGTTTTTCTCAGGGTATTTGTTAAATGAACAGAAGGTAATGTTTGTCCTATGTTGAAGGTAAGGCTGCTGTTTAAACTGTTTTGTGTTACTTACCAAATGTGGCATTCTTTTGTGTCCACTTTTACATGTCACAGAAAATCCGCCTAGTGCCAAGCAACCCTCAAAGATGCTAGTCATCAAAAAAGTTTCCAAAGAGGATCCTGTTGCTACCTTCTCTGCTGCATTCACCTCATCAGGATCCCACCATGCAAATGGGAACAAAGTGTCAACCATGGTCCCAAGTGTCTATAAGAACTTGGTTCCTAAGCCTGCACCACCTCCCTCTAAGGTATGAGTTGCAGTCACTATGGGAATTTTGATAAACAGATTTGATAATAAGTCATATACTATTTAATATATTTGTATTTTCTGGCAAAATATTCATTAGTTATTCAGTGCCAATTACATGTGTAGAATTTTACTCTAATCTCCAGACTCTGCCAGTGCCAGCTCGCTAGCTTCATTTTGTAAGCTTCATCTTTGTTATTTTCATTAATAGCATTAATATCTGTCTGATCCATCACGCTGAATACCTTGGCTTCCGCTTCCCTCTTACTCTTGTTTTTTTGAGACTAGGTTTCTCTCTAGCTCTGGCTGTCCTGGAACTTGCTTTGTAGACCAAGCTGGCCTTGGATTCACACAGATCAGCCCGCCTCTGCCTCTTGAATGCTGGGATTAAAGGCGTGCATCACTGTGCTTGAACCATGGGCATAGTCTACTTTATTGCCCTTTTTTCCTCTTAGCTAGGAAGAAATTCCTCTTGAGGTCTTTGACTCCTATGTATCATACACATACAAACATCTGACTAGTCCTTCCATCTCTATTTCCATAGCACCTTGGTCTCTTCAGTTACAGCACTCATCACATCAATTTATTTTCATCCTTTATATGTAACCTTAAGGCTGAAAATATTCTTATTTCTTGCACATTTAACTAAAACACATAATTGCTTGGGTGAATTTCAGTCTGTACTGATTCAAGAAAACTGCATTGTTTACTAAGAGACAACCCTAGTGAGCAGTAGCACACTTTCCATTCTACACATTGAATGTGCTTGGTTTTTAAGAGCAGGAAATCTGTTATGCTTTTTTACTGTAATGGCTGGATATAGTATTACACATTTGAAATTAACAATTTTTTTAAGGCTTTAAGTACATTTCAATTAAATTAAGTACTAAACACAACTCTTAATAGCAAGGTCAGTAGAGACTGTGGTCCTCCATCAATGTTTTACTTAAATATAGGTGGTATGGAGTGTGGTAGCTAACTAGAATTAAGAGCAAGATCAATGTAGACTGTGGTCATCCATCAAGGTTTTACTTGAATATAGATGGTATGGAGTATGTTAGCTAACTAGAATTTGGTGAGTGTCTGACATTGAGGAGGCAATGAACACTAGAAAGTTGGGTGGTGACTGGACCATTTTAATTACCCCCAGTAGCACTGGAAGGTAATATTAAGACTGGGAATTTGTCATTTTAAAAAATGCATATTTGTATGTTATCTATACATATGTATATGTGTGTTTGTATGTAGGAGGCATGTGGTTGACATCAAGCAACTCAACCTTGAGGCTACTGATTGAGTTTTTGTCTAAGTAACCTGCCTCAGAATTCCCTCAGTGTTCCTTCTGGGTACTTGAATTACAGGAGGGCAGTTACCACGTCTGCACTGTATTTTCATACATGTTTTCTTGGGTGCTAGGGATCCAAACTCTGGTGTTGACACTACTTGGGCACCTAACAGCTTATCCACTAGGTACCTAGCCCCATGACAAAGTCATTATTACAGTAAAGTGATTGCTTCCTTTTGCTTCCTTTACAGTAGATCTGACTATCTAGGCAAGAGTATAGAGAGTAAGGAATGGGAAAAGATCTTAGTTTACACAGTTAAATTCTACCAAGAAATTATAAATGATACATAGAAAATGTATCATTTTATCACAGAGTTCTTAGAGCTATGTTTACAGTAGAAATAATGCTTGTCAGTACTTGTCACTTGCTGCTAGGAAGTTGAGGAAAGTGACTTGGATCAGGCCAAATGTTATGTTCCACACCTTTTATCTCAGCACTCTAGAATCATAGGTAGGTAGCTGCTGAGTTTAAGGGCAGGTCTATATAGAGAGTTCCAGGTCAGACAGGTGTACTTTGTTTCCAAACCCAAAAAAAAAGTTTTTTCCTGTATTCAACCAGAAAATTTTGGTGACTTTGAGTTGCGGCCTTAAGAGATAAAAAGTGGCTGGGCATTGGTGGCGCACACCTTTTGTCCCAGCATTCAGGAGGCAGAGGCAGGTGGATCTCAGTGAGTTCACAACCAGCCTGATCTACAAGAGCTAGTTCCAGGACAGCCTCCAAAGTCACAGAGAAACCCTGTCTTGAAAAAAACCGGGGTGGGGGGGGGGAGTAGCGCAATATAATGGCACATACCTATATGTCATGTTGTAAGCTGCTCTAGCCAAGAACATGTCCATGTCGAGCTGCAGGTTCCATTAATAGGCCCTGTCTCAGAGCCTAATAGGAAGAGCACCTGATATCAGCCTCCTTGGGCACAGGTACATGCTTGTGCAGGTGTGCGTGTACGCACACACACCCGCGCACACGTACACATGTACATATGTACTACGTAATGATACTCTGTCTCAAGTAGGTAGGTAAATAGACAGATCGATAGATTTATCTTGGGTAAATTGGGGTAGGCTTAATAGCCTACCTATATTATAGTTTCAGTGCTCAAAAAGTAGAGACATCTAGAGGCTCCTGAGTAAGCTAGCTATATCAGCAAACTTGAGTTTAACTAAGAGAACCTGCTTTACTGAATTCAAGTGAGTGAAAAATAACATGAGTGGAGCTAGAAAGATGGCTGCTCTTCCCAGCAACCACATGGTGGCTCACAACAATCTATAGTGGGATCTGATACCCTCTTCTGGTGTAAACTCATATGTACAGAGAGAGCTCTGCTTTTACTTTAATCCCAGCACTCGGGAGGCAGAGGAAGGCAGATCTATGGGTTTGAGGCCATCCTGGTCTACAGAGTGAGTTCTAGTACAGCCTTGTCTTGAGAGAGAGGAAAAAATAAGCATTTTGGCAACCCCCTGGTATGTAGTAGATAATACTGTACAAGTTGTTGTGTTATTCAAGAATTCAAGAATACATCATGTTCGTTTGTTTTTTTGAGACATGGGTTCTCTGTAGCTTTGAAGCCGGTCCTGGAACTTGCTCTGTAGACCAGGTTGGCCTCAAACTCATGGAGATCCACCTGCCTCTGCCTCTGGAGTGCTAAGATTTAAAAGCATACACCACCACCTCAAGTCAGAAAAGAATTCTTTTCATATTGGTCTCACACACACACACACACACACACACACACACACACACACACACACACACACACACACACAGATTGAGGGTTGCAAATGAGTAGAAGTTCTTTGTGTGCAATTAAATGCTTTGAGAACTAGTATGATAACAAAAGCTGTTAAACCGACCCACACCAAGGCTCATGGCTTTTCTGTTCCCCATCTGCCTTACTTGTTCATATTGACAAGTAAGCTCTGGGAATTTATGTACCCACATAACTATCACTCTTTTGATTTTGCCATCTAAGTGCCTGTCTGTGTATTATTTTTGACTGATTTGTTCTTTATTCCCATATAGCCCAATGCTTGGAAAGCTAACAGAATGGAACACAAATCAGGATCCCTTTCCTCTAGCCGGGAGTCTGCTTTTACCAGTCCAATTTCTGTTACTAAACCAGTGGTACTAGCTGCTGGTGTAGTTCTAAACTCTCCCAAAGAGGTGAGTGAGGATAATAATTTTCAAATATTGCCCTGTTTCTTTTATTTATTTATTCTGTGTCCATTGTTTTGCCATGGGTGTCAGGTCCTCTGGAACTGGAATTATATACACTTATGAGCTGCCATGTAGATGCTGGGAATTGAACCCAGGTCCTCTGGAAAAGCACTGAGCCATCTCTCTGGACCCTTTAAAAAGATGTATGTAGCCCATGCTGACTCTGAGGGTGATCTTCAACACCTGATCCTCCTGCCTATGCCTCCAACTCACAAGTACTAAGATTATATACATACACCACTATGCCCAATTTTGGGTAGTGCTGGGAATCAAATCCAAGGCTTTGTTAATTCTAGATGGGCACTGAACCCACTGAGTCATATCAATAGCCCAAAAGTTGGAGTTTCTTTTGTATAAAGATTTATTTTTGGCGTATGAGTGTTTTGTATGTATGTATGTATGCATGCATATATAAGATCACATCCTCTGGATCTGCAGTTAAAGACAGCTGTAAGTTGTCATGTAGGTGCTGAGACCCGAACCCAGGTGTTGCATCTTGTTCTGCCTATACTCAGGTCCTGAAAGGGCAGCCAGTGCTCTAAACACCTGACCTATTTCTTAAAAATTGTGAAAGAATAATTTGGATGAGTTGTTCTTTCTGAGCAGTATGTGGTTGTAAATGACTAAGTCACAATGCAACCCGAGATAAGAGCATCATTCTAAGTCTCTGGCCAGCTTGAGCTGTTCTGTGGGGTCTTTGTACACATTAAAAAAAATTAAAAAAATCTTAGACTTTCCCATTCATTTGTAAAAAGGTATGCCATGTGAATTGTGGTTACAACAGATACCATTTCTGTTATGACTACACTTATTTGACACCAGCTTCCAATAGCTGTGTATAAACCAAGATTGGCCTGGTTTCTGTGAAAGGATTAAAATGGGTGTATAATATAAAAGTCCTACAAAACTAAATGTATTTAAATGAACTGTTTTGTGGTGGGTTTTTGTTTTATGTACATGGGTGTTTGCCTGCATGTATGTCTCAAGTCCCTACAGTTACAGAATATTGTGAGCTGCCCCATGGGTTCTGGGAATTGAACCTGGGTCCTTAAGAACAAAATTTTGCCATCTTAACCACTGAGCTTATCTCCAGCCCTGTTTTTTTCTTTTTTTGTTTGTTTGTTTTATTTTGTTTTTCAAGCCAAAAACGGAAATCAATAAGGTATAGAAAGTAACTCAGGGGTTCCTAGTTTTTGCCCATAACTGTTAGGAGCAATGTATTTGTGGTATTTGCCCAGAGTCCCTCCAGTACTACCCCTCCAATTGAGATCAGCTCCTCTCGCCTGACCAAATTGACCCGTCGAACTACGGACAGGAAGAGTGAGTTCCTGAAGACTCTGAAGGATGAACGGAATGGAGACTGCTCAGAAAGCAGAGATTGTGACAAACTAGAGGGGGTAAGAGTATGAAATTGTTCTGGTGTACTATGTATTTTGTTGTATGTGGGGTTTTTGTTAGTTTTCTTGTTTTATGGTTTTTTCAAGAGAGAGTTTCTCTGTGTAGTGATCCCTGCCTGTCCTGGATCTTACTCTGTAGACCAAGCTGGTCTCTATCTAACTCAGTCTACCTGCTGCTGCCTCCTGAGTGCTGGGATCAAAGGTATATACCACCTTACCCAGCCTGGCCTTGATACTTTTATGTGTGGTATTAGAAGGAACATTTGTTTTGTTTTGTTGTTGTTGTTGTTTTGTTTTTCTGGTTTTTCAAGACAGGGTTTCTCTGTGTAGCTTTGGAGCCTATCCTGGAACTCGCTCTGGAGACGAGGCTGGCCGCAAACTCACAGAGATCCGCCTGCCTTTGCCTCCGGAGTGCTGGGATTCTAGAAGCAACATTTGAATATGAAGTGTTTTATATTTGCATGTAGAATTTAAGAATAATTGTACTAGCCAAGCATTGGTGCATACGCCTTTAATCCCAGAACTTGTGGCAGAGACAGGAGCAAGGGCCAGGATAGGCGCCAAAGCTACAGAGAAACTGTCTGGACAAAAAATAATAATAATAATAATTGTACTCTGCTAAGAATTAAAGTAGGGATTGCTAAGTGTAGATTTTATATTTTGAGGTACATGTATTACCATCTCGAGTTTTTTAGTAATGGGGCTGATGAGATAGATGGCTCAGAGGGTGAAGGCATTGTGTCCCAAGTGCTGGAATTACAAATGTGCACCATCACTCCTAGCCTCTCCTTAATTAAATTATTAATTAACTTAATGTCTAATTTTAAGTGTTCTTTGTATATCATAGAGAATGATCCCTTACTAGATAAGGCTTTTGCACATATTTTCTCTCCATCTGTCTTCCTGTCTTTTTGGGAGGGGATGCTGTGTCTTGCTACATAACCCATACTGGCTTTGAATTTTTGATTTTGGTGCCTCTGCTTTCTTGATTACTAGGATTACAGGCATGTGCTGTCATGCTGTATCCTTCTCTAAACAGTGTCTTTAACAGAGCAAAACTTAATGAAGTCTAGTTAAGGATTTTGTGGATTGTTCATGTGTTGCTTTATGTAATAGTCACAGCCATGCTCAAAACCTGTGCTCTCTCCTGCTTGTCTTCAGTTGTTCTGTACACTATAGATTGAAGCGCAATCCACCCCACCCCCAGCATTGCGTGTTCAGGATCTTTTGACTCTACAGTTAGTTTACTGGCACAGCAGGTATTGGTTTTTAAGTGGGAAAAATCTTTATAGGTTGAGGGTGAGATATGGTCTCGGAAACATAATTCTAACTCCCCTGTTTTGCTGGTTGCTTATCTTGCTAGAAACGGTCATTGAACTAAGTCTCTCTATCCTTGTCTTGCAGTTGGAGGGCACCCACACACCCGAACCAAAGGAAAATGGAGAACAAGGTTGTCTTCAGAACGGTCTTTCTCTACCCATTGTGGAAGAAGGGGAGGTCCTGTCCCACTCACTGGAAGCAGAGCACAGGTGAGGATAGTATGTATGGTGTATAAGGCCCTTAAACATACTTAAACCTTAGGAAAGATATGACCATGAAATCTGACTACTTTTGGTACCCCAGTTAGCCTATTGCCCACTGGGCATTCTCTCAGATTTGGTCCCCTATTTCACAATAGCCCCAATGATTTTGTGAAGTTTCATTTCAGACGCGGTTTTAGGGATATGGTAATGGGAGAGACAAGATTTTGCACAGATGAGTTGTTCACCCAACTGAGCAATTACTGTAAAATCTCTGGAAGAGCATTTGGTACTCTTAACCTCTGAGCCATCTCTCCAGCCCCCTAATTTTGCTACTTTTATGAATCATAATGTAAATGTCTGATGTGCAGGATATGATATGTGACTCCTGTGAAAGGGTCTTTTGACCTCCCCCAAAGGGTTGTGCCCCACAGTTTGAGAACCACTGGGCCAAAGGAACCTCAGAGGTTATCAAGGTTGTGGGGGAGATCTGCAAAGCCATGAAACATGAAAGAGCTATGGAGTACAGAGAGATATGCTAATTTGTTCACAAAGAACAAAGAGTAATTTCTTCCTCCTGTTTGGATCTATGTAAAGCTTCCTTGTAGCATGTTTTTGGTTGATTTTTTATTTTGTATTTTTTTGTTTGTTTTTGTGTGTGTGTGCCATCTTATTTTCTGTTTCTACCCTTTTAATGGATCATTTTCCCTTTAACCATGAAGATCCTCCATTTAATTATGAGCACCTGAGAAACTTGTCCTACTAGGGAGAAAACAAAATTCCTTCTGTCCATTGGCCTTGGGCAGGCATTTTCCATGGGTGCTGGTGAGCTGTGTGGTCATTCTTACTAGCATCATGTTTTGTTTACTGTCCTTTTGCTGCCTCCAGGTTATTAAAAGCAATGGGATGGCAGGAATATCCTGAAAATGATGAGAATTGCCTTCCACTCACAGAGGATGAGCTGAAGGAGTTCTACATGAGAACAGAGCAGGTATGCACTCAGCCTTTAGCCCTGTCTGTAGACAGGCTCTCACCATGTGTGGTGGTTATGCACAGCTTTAATCCCAGCCTGGTGTACATCCAGTTCCAGGACAGCCAGGGCTACCTACACAGGGAAATCCTTTCTCCAAAAAAAAGGGGGGAGATAGAGAGGAGATGGGCTCACCAGAGAACTCTGGTTCAATTACCAGAACCCACAGGACAGCTCATAGCTGTCTATAACTCCAGTTCCAGGGCTTCTAACATCCTCACACAGACATAAATGCAGAGAAAACACCAATGAACATAAAAGAAAAATAAATTATTAAAACAAAAAAAGAGCCAGGTGGTGGCGGCACACACCTTTAATCCCAGCATTTGGGAGATAGGGGCAGGTGGATCTCTGAGTTGGAGGCCAGTCTGGTCTACAGAGTGAGTTCCAGGACAGCCATAGCTACGCAGAGAGACATTTCAAAAACCAAAAAAGATAAGAAAAAGCAGGATCTTGTTATATAGTCCTGGTAGATTGGAACATATTTTGTAAACCAGGCTACTTTGAATGTACAGCAGCCCTCTTGCCTGTGCCTCTCACACAATTGTAGTCGAGTGCTACTGTAACTGGCCAGGAGACCCTTAAATTGCTGTAGAAACAGAGTGATGGGTGTCAGACTGCCTGCCTGTACAGTAGGGATCTCAGAAGACACACACTAGGCCAGTGAGCAGATTTGGAAAGTAAGTAACAGGTTCCATGTTCACAGCTCTGACCCCTTAGCAGAACCACAAGCTGTGCTCTGTCTGAGTCCTTAGGAAAATGATCCCTGTCCTTCTGGAACTCTGACCAGAGCTAAGTAGCCAAAGGGCTAATGTAAATTGACTGGGTTAATGCATGGATTCTTACTGAGTAAAACACTATCAGATCAGGTTTACAATACAAAAATGAACAAAAGAAATGAAATTTCTACAGGCCTCTCTCACCCTCTGTAGCCATCCACCTGCAGGACAGAGATGGCCCAGTGGCTAAGAGGGCATCCAGCTCCTGCATAGGATTGGAGTTTCATTCTTGGCTACCATGTTGGCTCACAAGCACATGTAACTCCAGTTCAATAGGGTTTGAGGCTTCCATAGACACCACACACATGATTAAAAATAACAATCTTTGCTGGGCAGTGGTGGCACATGCCTTTAATCCCAGCACTGGGGAGGCAGAAACAGGTTGATCTCTGATTTGAGGCCAGCCTAGTCTACAGAGATGATTCCAGGACAACCAGGGCAGTTACACAAGAAAACCTGTCTTAAAAAACCCAATGATAATAGAGAACATTAAAGCATAAATTGACACCTGGGAAGTCTCACTATAGAGCACTACCGCTTAGAACTGTTCAGAATTAGGGACTCCAAAATAGACATACTTAAGTTTAGATGGCCAAGGGATAATAGCTCGGCCCAGCACTTGAGGCAGAGGCAGGCAGATCTCTGAAATCAAGGCCAACATGGTCTAAATAGGGAGTTCCAGGACTACATAGTTAAGACCCTGTCTCTAAATAAAACAAATGAGAACCTTGTGTCATCTTACTGAAGTTTGAAAAGTACCACTTTAAGAGTTGTTAGGGCTCTTGGCAGTTCAATCCTCGTGGACCAGTATAGTCATTGAAGGGTTTTATTTTCTCTCCATAGCTACGAAGAAATGGGTTTGGAAAGAATGGCTTCCAGCTGAGCCGCAGTTCTGGCCTGTTCTCCGCTTGGAGAAGCACTATCAATGTAGAGTGTGAAGACTCCGACACAGAAACAAGCAGCAGTGAGACGTCAGATGACGACGCCTGGAAGTAGAAATATAAGTGCTCACAGTTGACCTGCCCCACTGAGCTCAGCTTTGTGTTTAGAGAATATAAAAAGTGTTCTTTTCCTTTTCTTACGTTGTTGAATACTTCATGCACAAGGGAAATAATCATATCCCAAAGAGAGAGCAATTGTCTTGCCTAGCTTTTGTTGTTGTTCCCTGTTATCTGCTTAATAGAGAGACATTTGTGTGGTGGAATTTTTAAAGCACATACACAGTACCTGTGGGGCCGTGCACAAGTGGGAGCTGGCAGTGCAGAGATGCAGGAGGAGACACTGCTCTGCTCAACAGCTTCTACTACCAGCCCTTGGGCACTCACCCCTGTGCTCAAGCAATCATTGTCAATGACAAAGTGACTATTGAAGTTATAATTGTATTAAATTAATGCTAATAATTTGGATATTTTATTTTATTTTTGGCTGCTCGGGTAACTTAGCCCTTAACCAAGCAAATGTGGTTGTTTTTTGTTTTATTTTTCTGTTGTTGTTTTTTTCTTTCTGGGTACAGCTGTAAAATATTTGGATATAGGAAATGTTATTCTTGCAGCCTTGATATTCAGGGTGGATTGTAAAATATGAATTTTTGTGAGATTTCAAAGATTAAGATTATTTTGATAACATTATTTACAGATTTAAAAGATGTGGTTATCACAAGTCTGTTGAGGGGGAAAACTACTGCATAAAATAACTAACGTGGAATAAATATTTTGCATCAGTTTGGATTGTCTTGTGTAAGAAATATATTTTCTTTAAAATTAGAGTGGATTCTTTTTTTAGGGGAAATATTTTTAGAAGTCTGGGAGAAAACTGAATTCAGCCCCACCTGAATTCCTTTTCATTTCAGCAAAAACTCTTGATGCAGAAGAACCTGTGCAATAAATTATTCATAATAAACTACATTTTCTTTCCTGAAGGATTTTTTTTTTTTTTTTTTTTTAAGTGCCCAGAGTCCACCAATGTGGTTTAACAAGAACTGGATACATGAGGAGTGAATGAACTGGGGCTGGCCAGTGGCCAATGAAGTAATTGTTTTAGAAAAGATGGAACCTCAGACTAAAGTTTTATAGAACTAGCATCCTTTGGCTGTAGCTATGAGATACAAGTTGATAAGACAGGGAGATGAATAATATCTAAATCTGATATTCAAAAAGAAAATGTAGTGTGGGCTCAGCCAGAGGTAAGCATAGCAGGATTTCCACTGCATTATAAAGACCAGAAGGTAGACTGTAGAAGAGTGTATGACGGCCTGTGCTGCTTTTAATACAATGAATTGAGCCATTTGCAAATCTTGAAGGATGACAGTTGAGATGGAGCCGTGAGAATTGTTGACTGGGGCTAGTAAAATGATTAAGGCACTTTTCCACTAAGTTTTACAACTAGCATTCAATCCCTGGGACCATGAGGTGGAGGAACTTATTCCCACCACTTGTTCTCTGAGTTGTGCTGTGGAATAATCCCTTTGTACACTGTAAAGATTTGTGGCTCTGACTGGTTTAGTAAATGAGCTGACTGAACAGAACAAGGTTAGGTGGGAAAGGTACAAAGCCACATAGACAAAGCATAGGTAAGAAATGTTTTAAATGTAAGAATTAGGTAGTAACAAGCCTAAGTTTATAAATCATTTTAATCATTTATAAATAATATTTGTCATCTGTGTTTATTTGGAAGCTGCTTGGGGGACAGGAAAACACCAATAGTGTTGTATATGTGCACATGGCATACACATGAAATGGATAGAGGCTGGAACAGTGGCTTAGTGTTTTAGGAGCACCTACTGTTCTTGCAGAGATCGAGTTTTTGGTTCCACACCCATGTCTATTTTAGAGCCACTAAGATGGCTCTGAGTAAGATTGAGACAAGTTTGATTCCTGGCAGCCACATGATAGAAGTAGCCAGCTGACTCCCTCAAGCAGTCCTTTGACCTTCACATGTCTTGGCATGCATATGCTTACTGACATGTACATATATGCACAAACTAAATGTCTTAAGGAAATTTGCAGGTAGGGATGAAGCTCATTGGCAGAACACTGGAATTACATATCCAAGGCTCTGGATGTAATATCTAGAACCACAATACATCAACCTATGAAGGATAAGTTAGCAGTTTCAGTATAATACTAATTTCTGAGTCCTGATGTAAACATTAAGAAAATACGTGCTGGAATTGGAGGAAAGGCCCAGTAGAGTACTCACTGGCTACTCTTTCGGTGGTCCAGGGTTTGAATGCAAATAGCAGCCATAACTATAGTCCCAGGGTTTCCAGCTTCTAGCCTCAGGAACTGCATACATATTCAGTGCACAAATATACATGTAGGCAAAATATCCATACACACAACAAAAAAAGAAAAAGTACCTTTACATCAATGAATTACAAATGTTGCTGGAAAAAAATCAAACTTGGGGTTGAGAAGTGAATAGTGATTAAGGCTTAACCACTTACTAGTTCGTTTTGTTTTCAAAACATTTCTAAATTTATTTTTTTTTCCTGTTGGAATTAAGCTGCATTGAGTACATACTATTAAGACACGTTGTAACTTGTCCCTCATACTTGGGATGTTTGGGGACAAACACCTTAAACTCCCTATCTTGTTTAGGAAAGGAGTGCTTTGAAAACTTCTTTATAGATTTGTATGGAATTGAAGGTAATTTGACCAATCTTTGATTTCTTTATTGCATAGATTTTACACTCCCCAACCTATCCCGCAGTTTTCATTTCTTCTCTGTCTACAGCTGGAAAAACAGGAGTCCCAGGATGGGAGTTAGAGACAGCTACATTATTTGGTGGGTTAATTTTGTAAAGGGTTTGTAGAGGTTTGTGTAGTGTTCTGTGAGCACTACCTTGTGTGGAAAAGATGGCTTCCTGGCAGAATGTAACTTCAAGAGTTCCCTGCAGTGAAGAATAGTATTAACTTGAATTCTATCCACTTCAGAGAACAGCAGTGATACAAACACTTGCCTGAAAGATGCTGTGAAATGACCAAACTGATAAAAGGCCCAGCTAGACGAAGAGGCTACTTTTTCTATAGGCAAGGAAATCAAAGCTGCTGCCACAGACTTGTCCAAACTCAAGCAGTGGGTGGAACAAGCTGTGTTTCTCAACTGGGGCTCCTCCCAAAGGTGACAAGACCTGCCTAGGCCTGTACTTGCTGTCAAGGGAGCTAGAGCACCTCCCCAAACAAAAACAAATTTGAAGATCTTGAAGATCTAGTAGAGTTCGCCTTTTGGCCTTTTCTCTCTTCTTGTGCTGCTCCTTTGCCACATCCTCTGAAGGACTGATTCCTGCTGGTTTCAGTAACGGATCCCATCCCATGGCCAATTACTCTAGGGAGTCAGGATTTCTGCCCTGTGAGTCCTGTGATATGGTTTTCAGCTCCTGGGCTTTGTTGGCCACCCACACACAGCGATTCTGCATTGGCCGGATGACTCCGGAGGTGACACATGGAACACAGTCTTCAGTAGCTATGGAACAAAGGGGCACCAAGGTAAGAGTCACCTATGGCTTTGGCTAGGTTCCCAAACAAGCAGGATTCTCAGGAGTCTTCATCTCCCTGCCCCCAGATTACTGCACAAGAACAGAGCCATTCGGAGCACGAGGCTAGCAAACCAGCTCTAAAAAGGTTGACAGAGGAGGTACACACCCACCTACACCCAACGTAGCTACAAACTTCGTATCTGTAGATACTTGCGGGAGATCACCCACATCAGAAACAGCGGGTTCCCGTTACCTGCAGGTGCAGTTGCTGAGGCTGTCCCTACAGGAAATGCGTCTCTGGGCGACTGAGGGTCTCACCTCCCAGACTACAGGAAGCCCTAGCGAAAGGCTGCAGGCGCTGCAGGGAACCCGCGCCAAGCGCGTGGCTGAGACAGAAGCGCACAGCCGGGCCCTGGAGCGCCGCAGCCAGGGTGAGAGGGAGGGAGGGACCGACGCTGGGCCTTCCCGCTGTGCTAGGACTCATGCTAACTCGGCCCCTGTCTCCCTCAGATCTAAAACGGCGTCTCCTGGGCGTAGCGGGACTCAGGGGAGGATTATCTGCCCCATTCGGCCTGGAGCGCGAGCTCCGAGAACTCAGGGCCGAGGCCGGCCGCACGCGGGCCGCTCTGCAAACGCTGGCAGCTTGCTTCTTGGCGCTCCAGCCACAGTCAAAGTGAGGCTCCTGTGGAGCCTTGAGGGAGCGCGGGTGGGGCGGGGTCTAGGGCGCGGGTCAGTGACATCATCTCTCCGCGCCAGGATCCAACAGAATTGTTTTCAGGAGTTGTGTTCCCCATCGATATCGGTGAAGCCAGGAACGCTTCCCGCAGAGATCCAGTGAGGTCCGGGCACGTGGGGAGCGAGGGTAGGAGTGGGAGGCTGTTCAGTCTGGGGAGATTGCTTTCTGCTGCTTGCTAGGGCCCTACGTGAGGCCTACGTGCGCGGTGGAGGCCGGGACCCCGGAGTTCTGAACAAAATACGGCAGCTACAAGCGGAGGCTTCAGCCCTGGAGTTGCAGCGTTCGCAGAACCGCAAGGGTGAAGAGAAGGGTTCAGCCTAGACGGCCTTTGCACACTGAGCTCCTAGACTTGGGATGAGAAAAGGGTGTGCGGGAGGAGGGCACCACTAGCAGGGGAGCTGCCTAAGGTCAAGGTAGAAAACCATTATCAGCTGACAAATCCTGACTTGTGCAGAAAACCTTAATGTTGGAGAACTACATAAAGTAAAGAATGATACGCCACTTTAATTCTTCTCAGATAAAGCAAGTGCTGCCTCTGAGGAGCTTCTAGTGGTGGAAGCCGAAAACCGGCTCCTGGAAGCAGAAATCCAGGCCTTGCAGAATAAAGGCCTGAGTCTGGAGCCCTGGGGTCAGTAAAAACCCAACCCATGCCTAGAGAATGAGGCCCATGTCTGTGTCATTGGTTTGTGTCTATGTAATGCCTATCCTTGTGTCTTTGGTATATGGCCCTGTAGTATCCTGATTTCTTGTTTCAGCTTCCTCCAGCTCAAGCCAACTTTTTTTTTTTTCTAGGACCCAGGGAGCACCACCTCCTAGATCTCTGGCCACACCTGAGTAGACCGGGTGATAACTCCCTCCTCCTTCCACCAGTTGCACCTGAAATGCCACCACTTGCCAGTTCCACAAATGTCCAGAACTTCCTTGGCACTTCTGTGAGGAAGCTGGAAGACTGGGTTGATGGTTGGCAATCCTGACATGCAGTTTGGGGTGCATGGGCAACTTGCAGTTCTGTATGGTTTAATTCTTGTCCACAGCAGCTTATTAATGGAACGATGACAAGGAATTTAGGTCTGGATCGCCACATCCAACCACCATCTGGTGTTCTAGGCCCTGCACCCTATGATTCTGGGTGAGGCCTGCTCCCTCCTTCACAGTCTCTTTAACTCAGCCACTACTGACATCTAAGGAGACCCCCAAGAGCTATCCAGGGTTGGAGTAATGGCTGGGGGAAGGCATTTGGTGTTTTGTGTTGTCACATTCATATTCTTCAGGGCTGGCCTTGTCATTTTCTATGACTTCCTGTGTGGCCTTGAGCCTTCTTGGGTTTGGGTACAGCTAAAGACAAGCTTGGCCCGTGATGGACAGGAAACAGGAGGGACCACAGCATTGCCTCCAGCCCTTTGCATACCACCACCTTCACCTCCTGGACCTATGGGCAACTGTGCCATCCTTGCAAGCAGGCAGCCTGTACCCAGGTCAGTAGGTATCATGAAGGCATCATCGCATTGTTTAATTGGTACACAGGGGCCTTTGGACCCGAGGGCTGAGTCCTACAAAATCCCTAGGAAGGTCTTACATCATGCCTCTGGTTGTTCTACAGGTTGCCTCCATCACCACTGGTATCTTTGATCTGTGAACTACAGGCATGGCAGGGAGTTACATGGACACCACAACCAAAGGCTTGGGCTTCACTATCACTATTTGACCAAGATAAGCAGATGCTTAGTGGTCGTTGGCGCCTCCCATTTCGGGGTCTTCCTAAGGCCAACCTCAGACTTGGCCAGCTGAATGAGATTCCCCAGGTGAGTGCAGAGGATAGGAACTGAGTCTACTCCAAGATTCAGCTAGTTACTGCTTACCCTCTCCCAGGCAGGTCAAGCTGAGCTCTTTCTGAGGCTTGTGAATGCAAGAGATGCAGATGTGCAGACACTGCCAAAGATCAGTCCAGCAAGTGCCCACGAATACCAGTACCCACCACTGGTAAGAGTCCACTGCAGCTAGGAAGTATGACTGATGAGCTTCTGTTAGCTAACCAGCTTCTATTAGCTAGTATTTGATCCTTAAATTTTACCCAATTAATAACATGGGGCAGAAACAGAACTTTTGGTTTAAAAAAAAAATCCCTACCTTTTCATCTTCTATAGGTATCCAATTCATCTTCATTGGAAACCAGTTCCTTCACCCACAATTCTGGATTTGCTGATCCTCAACCTCCCACAGAAAAGGATTTTATCAGTGTCAAGAATAAAGATGAGCATTTGAGCCCTTACCAGTTTTGACCCAAACCCGTAAGGTTTTTGAGGTTGAAGGCCCATTTCTAGACCTGCAGCTTTTCTAATGAGGTCTCAAAGTAACCATAAACTCCTACTAAGCAAGCTGGGTATTTTTTCCTGCTCCCATTTCCTTTTGTAAAGCAGATAGAGTAAATGATTTCAAACATGCACAGAAATAGCCTGGCATTCAAGTCTCTGAAAATAGCTAGGCTTTACTAAAGCCAGCTTTATCAGCAAACTTCACTCCACTCACAGCTTCCTGCGGACTTCTACACAGAAATCTATCCACGATCTCAAGCTTCCAGCATACAGGAAACTCCTGAAGATTGAGATTCCAAGGTCCATCTTAGTCCACTTATGTTCCAAGCAAGCAGGGGATCATGTACTGGAATTTTGGACCCAACTACAGATCCAAGCAAGCAGGGGATCATGTACTGGAATTTTGGACCCAACTACAGATCCAATCAGCAAAGATCCTGTACTGGTATTATCAAGTCTGTTCCAACTGGAAAGTCAATGGGGAGAAACACTTTAGGTTAATACAAAGACATCTCAAGAAGACACTTCAAAGTCAGGGTGAGCCAAGCTTTAGTGACTATCCCAGAGAGTTTGAAAAGTAACTGAAAAACTGTCATTGAACACAATACCATCCTCAACACTATACTGGCATTTTAAAGACCCTGTATAAGGCAGCTCAGAAAGGATCTGTTTCTGATTCATACACCCTGATTGTCAGAGCCCAGGAGGATAGCATTAGTATCTGACCACGATCCCTCAACTAGACACCCAGAACTGATAGAACAGCTTGCCACTCTACCTCAAACCCCACAAAGAAGTACCAGGCTACGCAGGAGCCGCCTTATAAGGTCTCTGAAGTGTAATTCCAGAACAAGGTGGGGCTGGTGTTTTCAATTAACGTATTTATTTTTATAAGGCAAAATTGCAGACAATATAACAATTCTAATTATTGACATGCAGAAAAGAACAGACTTTGTCCAGCCAGATTCTTCCCCGTGTCCGTACCTCAACCTGAGCCTTTCCAGTCAGAACTCATGCCTCTGATTTAAAACACCGTTTTCCTCAGGGATTACTTCCCATGTATCCAACAGTTTTTCCCAGGACGGGATTATGGCCTGAAATAGGTACAACACAAGACCTGGTTCATATTCCATCATTTTCAGCACCAAACATTTCTACAAGTCCTTGTTTGGCAGACAAGGAAAGTATGAAAGTATGCAAGACACCTGAATACAGCCAATTATTTGGAAATAGAAACATAGCACCAGAAGATGAAGGAAGAGCTTTTAGCCATACTTTTGATCACCTCTATATTAGACAGGAAGTAGGTTGTTCAACAGCAATACACACACACACAAAAAAAACACATACATACACCATAAACAGAAACCTAATGGCCCAAGGAATAGATTCTGCCAATATTTAAGAAAAAAGCCATCAAAGCCTTAGCTGTTGCCTACAATCTTTATTGAAGTTATACAAAAAGAATCCCCAAAAGTGAAAAAATACATTATGTACAAAACCACTTTCCCTCGGGAGAAAGGTTCTGCTCCCTCTTAACATGCAGTGCCTTCAACTGCAGCTGCAGTGCTTTCTACTGTAGTTGCAGACTCCACTGTCCCCTCTTCCTTTGCCGAGCTTTCAGCCTGATTCTCAGCCTGAAAGACAAAGAGCCTAGGTATAACTAACCCTGACATATAACAGAACAGGCTTCAGTCATAAGTAAAGATATAAAGATAAGGCTGGCATAGCCAGCAGTTGACAGATTTCATGGAACGATCAAGTAGACAGAAATAACCAAATAGTCTTGCTGATCTGGAGCCTTTCTATACATTCATTAGAATAATAAATACAATGCATCTGTCAGACATCCTATTACTTCATCAGTACAATCATTTTCTGTGTGTGTCCCATATGCAGTGAAAGCCTGGCTTCATCTAAGAGCAACAGATGAGGCAAGTGGCCATGTCTTAAAACTACCCACCTCAGCCTTCATGTTTTCTGAAACTTCATTTCTACTGGGGACAGCATCCCCACTGCCTCCATTCAGCTCTGGCTCTTGTTTGGCTTTCTTTGCATCATCTTTCCGGGGGCTCTCTTCCTCTGGTTTCCTCTAAAGATAGAATTGTGAATGAAGGATGGCTTCATATTTTAAGACAATTGCAAAATAATCCCACAGCCCCTGCTGTGGTGCAAATGTACTGAACATCCTGACCCTCAGACTCTATGGATCGATCTACTCTCTAGTTACAAGCAATGCTGAGACCACTACATAGAGGAATAAACAGGTTATGTCCTAATGTATTCTTATCTTAAAATTTCCCTAGTTGGGATACATGGAATTCGTAAGGATTAGGTGTATTAAGCTGAACAGTAAAGGAGTACAAATAGGTTACCTATTTTCAGTCAGTAAAGACAGAAGTGAAGACTTACCACACAGGGAAAGATTATTGATTGGCACTATTGGCAAATAGACTTGCTACTGAAGAAAACCAACCAGATCCTAAAACATACTCCTCTAATCAATCCTCTTTAGCATGTCAAGAAGCCATGAGTTTGCTAGGTAAGGTACTCTAAGTGAATACGGCCTGTGCAAAGCCTTAGCTCTTTTGAAAGTGAGTGTTCTACTGTACCACTAAAGACGGTCATTCAATTACTTGCTAGGGTATTATTTCAAACTTCATACCCTGAAACGCAGGCTGGGGGAAAAGGTTTAAAAGTAATTTAATACATGTAAATTTTACCTTCTTTCTGACAAGATGAGAAATATCAGTCACACAATTTGACGAGGAAGCACCATCTGTTGGTTTTCTACTGGCAATCTGGCAAAAATAAGCCTTTGTTATTAGCAATTTACCAAAAACCTTTGACTCATAGTAGATTTATTGAAAAAAACCAATACAAACCATGGAGACTGAGGCACCAGCTCCACTAGGAGTGAAACCTGAAGAAGAACTCTCCACCTATGACATAGACACAAGTAAGTTGCAGCACAGAACCCTAGCCACCCAGGCTTAAGTCACATAACACAAGCACTTGATAAAAAGCATAGCATCAGCACCACGGCAAGGCCATCCACACTAAGACCAAGAAACTCAAGAGTAGGCATGGAAACTAAACCCTTCATGGTCTATTTCCAACACAGAACAATCCCTAACATGCCAATGACTCAATGACTAAAGCCTTTTCTATATGGTATTGTCAAAAACATTTTTACACACAGACGACATAATATTTACACAAAAGGTAAAGAAATGTCCATGGTCACACTAAGTAGCAGTCAAAGATTTTAAACAAGTCTGTTTACATACACAGCAGCTTTCTAACCACTGTACTATTTGGTACGAGTTGAGATGAGCTCTCATTGTGATCAACCCCCTCATGAGTGATGGTGCAGGCCTTTAATCCCAGCACTCCCAGCACTCAGGAGACAGAGGCAGGCAGAACTCTGTAAGTTGGAGGCTAGCCGGATCTACTTCTAGGGCAGTCACTGAACCATAGAAGTATGTTATTTAGAAAATAAAACTCAACAAACCAGAGTAGCTTTCAAGGCCAGTTCAGCTACATTCCCACTACGCTGAGACTCCTTTGCATCTTCTATCTTTTCTCTAATTTCAGGTAGCAGTTCTTTCAGCTCCTCAATTTCTTTCTCATATTCAGTAAATGATCCTTCAGCCTCTTTCATCTGCTCATTTAGTACAGCTACAAAGAAAGGCTTAAATCATTAATAACAAAAGGACCCATTTTCCACACAGTAAATTGCTACATCATCTAAGCATGAAGTAGCTGCTGTTCACTCACCCATTCTCTTCTCAATGACTTCAATAGATTTGCCAAACTGTGCCACTGCCTCATCATACTGAGAGTTGTAACCATAGGCCAAACCCAACTGGTAGTGAGTCTCTGCTAGGAGACGGTCATGGGCTTCCAAATACTGTTCTTGGAGGCTTAGACAAGCCTGAAACTCCTCCACAGCTTGGATATAATTCTCTAATGAAGACAGAACAATAAGAATTATACAGCATTTAATATAAAGCACTTTCAGAATTTAGTTCAGGAATGGATTCTCATTTTACATTCCTTTCTATCTCTCCCTCCTCCCTTTTTCTCCCTCTTTTCAAACAAGGTCTCAATTTACTTCTGGCTGGTCTAGAACTATGTGACCATGCTGGTCTTGACCTCAGAGATCCACCTGTCTCTGCCTCCTCCATCCTTGGTTTAACAGGGAGGACAAACCACTACAAACCTGTTCACTGCAATAGGTAATATAAGGAACTCAGACCTTCAATTCTTGTGTCTATAGAAACAGGAGAATGGGGACATTTGGGGAAGTTAGGAGACAGCAAAATGGAAAATGCATTACCAGATTCAACACTAACTTCTCCAAGTTTAAGATGGGCTTGTGCAGCATAAAGCTGGGCTTCTTTTGTTTCTTGCCTAAAAAGAAAGATTATTAGTAAAGCCCTAAAAATAATTGTCTGATCCTAAAAAAAAGTGCTTTCTATTTTCACCATAAGTCCACAGCTAAAGGCACCAAGAGTTTTACCTTTTAAAAATGATCTTTGCTAAATCCAGCATATCCCAGGCAAGTTCCAGGTTCCCAATCTCCTCCTCTTCATTTTCTTGAAGAGACTTAAGCAGATAGAAATCATTGGCATTAGACAAAAGCACAAGACAGGCAGAGATCTTGAGAATAAATCTTAATACATAATTTACTATAATTTGAAAAAGCTGGTTGCACTCAAAATGCAGCCCTTCTCCCCAAAACTTACCAAATGGGCCACCTACTTAAAGGTCTCTAATTTATGTCACCTTATGTCAGTGAAATAATCACAGTGTTGTATTTCATCTCATGATGAATAAAGGATCTCTAAGCCCTAGCCAAGAACCAGCCATCTACAGTAACCTTTCTTATACCAGTTATGGATTCATAACCCTATGGTAAGAAAGTTGTTATGGTACTGAAGGAATAACTTACCTTGTTTTCAAGAACCGATTCAGTTGGTGTTTCTTCAGCCTTGTCATTTTCTTTGTCGTCGTCTTCTGAGCCTTCAGTTTCTACAAACAAAAATTCCTCAGTATTGAGATGTAACTAAAGGTATTTTCTGTTTGGTCAGATTCTGATAAATATCTGTCAACTTACATTCTAAGACAGAATAGGAAAGAGGCTACATCCAACTCAGCATGTGATCTGAAGTTAAAATCAGTAGTTACCATCTAATTCAAATTTAGGCCAGTCTATTCATCAAAATGCCAGCAGTTTAAAGACTGAGGATTTTCTTATAAAGTAAAGCCTTCCAACAATCCTGCATCTACTCAGTAGACAGCTTTTAGTCATTTAAGACAATCATATTAAATCACTCCAGTCCATTCAGAACAATAACCAAAAGACTAACTTTCCTATAAACTATGGGGAAGGGACATATGTCTTGCAACAACTCTCCCCAAAGAGCAGGTCACATAGACTCTAACAACCTCAAAAAGATTGGGAATGAACAAGCCAGTATACTAAAGGTTTCATATAAGCCGGGTAGTGGTGACATATGCCTTTAATCCCAACAGAGGGAGACAGAGGCAGGTGGACCTCTGTGAATGAAGACAGCATGGTCTACATAGCGACAGAGGAAAGCCAGGGTACACAGAGAAATTCTGGTTTAAAAAAAAAAGTCAAAATAAACACACAATATATTTCATTTAAATGTGTAGCCATACCTACACCTATTTTGATATATAATCATAAGTCAATTGTCCAAAGAACAAGCTTTTATAATAAATTATTATTGTTAAGCCAACTAAAATCCAAAATGCCAGTCAGGCACTGTTGGCACACACCTTTAATTCCAGTACTTGGGAGGCAGAGACAAGCAGAACTCTGAGTTCAAGGCCAGCCTGATCTACAGAGCAAAATCCAAGACAGTCAAGGCTGTTACAGAGAAACCCGGTCTCAAAAAAAAAAAAAAAAAAAGCCAGCTTTTTCAGTTGATACAATATGATCAATTCAAATAGATTAAGTATGTACTCATTAAACTAGGTGGGGTTTTCTTTTTTATTTTTCTTTTCTTCTAAGATGCATTCTGCCTGCATGTATGCCTCCACAGCAGAAGAGGGTACCATACATACCTCATTATAAATGCTTGTGAGCTACCATGTGGTTGCTGGGAATTTAATGTCACAAGAGCAGTCAGTATTCTTAACCACTGAGCCATCTCTCCAGCCCTCTTTTGTTTTTTTGTTTTTCTTTTTAAAGAGACAAAGCCCTACTATATAGCCCAAACTAACCCCAGAGACCAAGAATCAGCAATCCTTCTGCATCTCCCTAGTAGCTGGGAGTACAAAACTGCCAGCATGTTCAACCTTTTTAACTCCAGCAAAAAAAATTGCAAATGTCATCACTCATCAACCCATTAAGGGAATGGAAACATGTCAAATAAGCCTTAGCATCTCTTCTGTTGTTTGAGTCCAGGTCTAATTTGGTTATTCTTAAACTTGACATGTATACCAATCTGGCTTCAAACCCAGAGATCTGCCTGCCTCTGCTTCTCAAGTGCTGACTAAACACCTGTGCCACAATGCCTGTGTGAGCCAGGTTAAATGTCAGCAGTTTTATCTGAATCACAATGAAAACAGGCATGGAAAATTTTTATATATTGCCATTTATTAGCACAAACCAATAGTACTTGAACTATTTGTATATAACAACCTAATTAACAACTATAGCAATGAGACATTTAACCAAAAGGTTCATGTTTTTTGTGTGTAAGTTTGAGTCCATGGAGAAGTCAATGTCAGATGTCTTCCTCTACCACTCTCCAACCTTTTTTCCTGCAACAATGTCTCTCACTGAAACTGGAGCGCCACAACTAGCTGGTT